CTTAAACATTAGGTTTTCCAAGTGCAAAAACGTGCACAACAATTGCAAAAAGGTCCTTAGAAAATCATAAAATCGTCACAAGAAATAGACGCGCAGCGGCCAGGCACACCCGCTGCACCCCGGCCGCTGTGTGGGATGCGGGTGGAGCGGCTAGGGTGACCCGCTCCAGGCACCCGCTGCAATTCAAGGCGCGCGGCTGGTTGGAGCCGCTGGGGGTCGGTCGCTGCGCTTGGGAGCGGCTTGGCTCACCCGCTCCATGTTGCCCGCTGTGAGTGTCTGGCTACAGCGACCAGGCAGGGCCGCTGTGAGTCGGTCGCTGTGGCTCTCTCCGGGTCTAGATCACTCCTTTTGCTTCTTTTGAGCTTCTAATGAACCCCAAATGTCTCCAAAGCTTCCATGTGAAACTCCAATACCTAAAGGGGACTCATGTATGCAAAATGCAACCTAAACATGGCTAGAACCTAACCTACATGATGAAAAGGTATGCAAAAGAGTAGATAAAACAATGCAATAATGCAAGACATCAGTCATGCACCACTCTGATTCGTGATGATAACTATCTCTACCCATATTATTATCTGAGCCTTTATTTAGAGATTATATTGTATATTAGTATATTGAAAGGGTTAATAAGGTAACCAGATGATGGTCATTTTAATGATTTGACCTTGATGCGGACTGTAATTCTTTGATGATAACTTCAGGTTCCTGATGGTTATTTTCCCTTTAGGTTATTTTAACTTTGATTTTATTTTAATTGAACTAATTCAAATTCCATTGGTCAATGATGATTGTTCCAAAGTTCATTCATAGTAGTTGACAATGATTTGGATTGTCTATTGTAGGGTAAATTCTTGTAGTGGACCTGGTGGTTGACTTTTGGAGTTGTTTCCTGCTTACATGTTCTACGGAGAATCCCGAAGGTGTTCTATGTTTCTTTCTTATAGGCGCATTTGTATGATTCTTCAAATTAATATCTTTTCACATTTTATATTTACTGCATTCCAAAACTTACAGGCTCTGTTTCCATTGTTTCATGTCGCCCAACTCAAAATGTAAACTCGATAGCTACAATTATCTTGTGAAAATTATTTGTAAAGTGACATCACTCTTTTTCTTAAGGACACAAGTTGTCAAAAACAGATACTTGCAATATTGCCGGATTCTTCATGGCTGCTCTCGTTAAAAAGAAACATGATCACATTATGCGCGGCTCGCTTTGACGGCTTTTTATTTTCTGTTTTGATGTTCAATATCTCTGTAAAATTGTTCAAAAGAGCCCAATTTTCTTGTAGGCCAAGGTTCTGATGGTTACTAGCATTACTACCTTATGTTCCTAAATTTGTTTATTCTTATGGTCCTTAGTTTGTTCAGTAAATAATTAGACAAGTGACAAGGCTTATTGATTTGTGGATAGTCAAAAAAATAATTAGCCAAAAAAAAAGAAAACAATTAGCCAGTGAGAAAATTTTAATTGCAAAAAAAGAGACAAGTACTAATCAAATCAACGGGTGTCGGGCTTATGATTTAAATACCGTTTCTGTTTCATCTATAAATATACTCATTATCTTATCTTGATACAAATATACTTCATTTGAAAAGTCTGTAATAAATTATCGTAGGCTTTAATTTGTAATGATAAACTAAAAAAATGTAAATATGTCACAACTTGTAAGTCAACCGAAGAAGAGGCACTTTGGTTCTAACACACAAGAAGACTCGCATAATTTTTTTTTTTTTTGGGGATAATATATTTGTTGAATCGCATAATATTTAGGCAGTCAACGTTCCATTTGAGATCATTTCCTAGTTTCCTTCCTCTTTCCCTTTCATCCGTTTTCCTCCATTTTTTTTCTCTAATAAATCAAAGAATATACTCTAACACTGAAACGGTATAATACGCCTACATGGTTATTATGTACTAGAATGCATATTTATATAAATCAGTCAATGATAGGTATCCACATCTGGAACTCTAATATAATCGTTTTAGAACAGTCTTGTTCGCTCGGAGTGGATTACCATTTCCGTTCATCTCGTAATCATATTTATTTAAGGTTACCATTAAATCCTATGTAGTCATTATAACATAATTGACCCTTACTCATTCTTGTATTGCAAGTCTACGATATAATACACTCAAAAACTCAGTGAATAGTCTCAAATAATTAACTTCTTTCACAAGAATTATATCCATAATAATTTCTTCTGTTTCGTTCAAGTCAATCAAATTGTCTTCTACCCTAGTTCGAATCAACAGGCAAAAAATTTTTCACAAACAAATGTTTTGGTGACTTGAAATATAGTTCCTTTTCAAATAACATAAATATATGTATGAGAAATAAGGAACTAGGATGAATAACACACCACTTGCCAAGAGGACAAAGACGATGGCTCCGTCCACGTGGTTCACAATTGACCATTTCCATAATACTAGCTGCCAACAATATTTTAGAATAAAAAATGCGGTTACTTGCATAATCACCTGTTATTTTATTAAAACAAAGTTAAGCAAACCGTAATTCAACATCTTCTTGTGCGTTACAGACTAAACAGCGTGTCAAATCTCTTTAGTCCAAAAAATGTGACTAAAGATATATGCAAGGTGCGCTTGTTTAAAATTCTTTAATACTGGTATCAAAATCAATATACCTCACCGTGAAATGCACATTTCTTTTGTGAACGAAGTATCAGTGTGTAAGATAAACGGTGATATGAATTTGCAACTGAAAATTGAAAGTATGAAATATTATTTGATGTAAATTTTTGTTTATAGTTCATATTAATACTAATTTATTATTCTGCTATCAGTGTTCAAGTATGAAATATTATTTGATGTAAATTTTTGTTTATAGTTCATATTAATACTAATTTATTATTCTGCTATCAGTGTTCAAGAAATCGTTAAAAAAGTAATTAGACGATTTATAGAAGATTATATATTATATAGACGCGTAAACTGATTTTGATTTAGAAAAATCATTCAAAATTACCATTTCGTTTAAGTTTGAATTACTGGCTAAACCACTTTTAGAACAATATATGCTACAAATTACAATACCTATTATATTGACAATTTACAGTTGATTATTAAATTTTTCTTATAATAATTTTTCTCTGTTACTTTTAACGAGAAACGCTTCTTGTTGAAATGATTATAAACCATATTTTTAGAATTTGAATCAAGAATTTTGATGTTGAATGATTAATTAATTTTAATCAAAAAAATAATTGATTTCTTTCAAGATCAATACGTGTAATAATTTGTAAATCTCTTAATATGGCACAAAAATTTTCTTCTTCTAGTGAAAAATAAAAATATCATTTTAAGAAGAAAATCAAAAAATATATCATTAGAAAAACTTCTCAGTTCTCATTGGCCAACAGCAATTATACCTTTTGAACCCTTCACAGGCTCCCAGAAACCTTCCTCTCCCTTTCGATACATTGTTTGGGTATATATACGCGTATGCGTCACATGTTACCTTAGACAAAAAAAAAACAAATTCTGAATAATACTTTAATTTATATCTGTTCCAGTTAGGACATTGTTCAGACAAAGATGAATTTGCAGAGATGTTTAGTGTCATTATGTTGTGTCCTAACCCTTCTGGTAATCGAAACGACAGCATACCGCGAGAGACAGCTGCTGCAACCGCAGGAAACGGCGAAAGACACTGCAAACGCGGTGGTGGCGGTACAAGATCGGGGTTTGAAAACGCGGCGGCCGGAGCATAAGAACGCCTACGCAACGATGATGTACATGGGAACACCAAGGGACTATGAGTTTTATGTTGCGACACGCGTTTTGGTCAGATCGCTGAGAAGTCTCCAAGTGGACGCTGATGTTGTCGTCATCGCTTCTCTTGACGTCCCTCTCCGATGGGTTCAAGCCTTGTAAGTCTTCTTCTTCTTTTCTTTCCTCTGTTTCTTGCGTCGACTAACTCTGCTGACCATAGTTAAACGTCATCGTTTCAAACTTAGACAAACCCTATAATACGCTGGAATATACTACAATTTATATAATTTTCGATTTCTAGACAATATCGAAACTTTCCACTGGCATCGTGCATGAAACTGCAGGTTTGTTTTCTTGATTAATTCTAAATATTATATATATACAATGCTTTTATTTTCTTGTTGATGGAATTCACGAATTCAAATAACATTTGAACATTGAGGAAACGTTCTTTGTTTTCTTGTTCCTTACTGTTTTTATAATGAACTAAAACATGAAGTAAAGCAAAAGTTTGGGAGAATTAAACTTTGAGTAGATATATGTTGTTGACACGTATAGACCAAGTCAATGTATCTATTAGTAGTAATTGACTACGCGGTTCAATGTATCAAAATATTACTTGAATCTTCTTACTTTATGCCAATGAAATACTTTAATGAAATTCAATGTTGAAGAACTTGTTACTGTTAGGTCTCACATAATTATATAATTCTTTTAATTTTTTCATCCTTAATGTTTTATGTATAAAGTTTCTCAAATATTTTTTTGGAATTTTTACATATTTCTCAATTCTTGAAATAAACCATAGTATACTTACTAATCAATAACTTATCCACCCATAAAAATTGAAACATGCGTAGAACCGGGAGTTTAAACGATCGAAAACAATAAAAAATTAAAAACTGGCTCCATTTAATGAGTTAACTAGGAGTCTAAGAGAGTTGTCTGACTTTATCCTGATTTAAAAAACTTTTGGAAACAAGGAAGAGTTGCGTACATGTTCTTAGTCAAACTGTGTATACCTTTTTTTTTGAAATTTACGTTATTAATTTATTGCCGGCCAATTTGCTGTATAGATAGATTATGCAATAACGTCTACATGTCAATCTCATTAGCCATATAGCCTATATTAAATGTTTAACAGTACAATAACTTCACATGTCTACACACCAAAAAAAAAAAACAGAACTATACGCTCAAAATCATGCATGCACATATTAGTTGTTCAAAACGGACGTGTTTCATTCCGTGTGTGTGGATACTAACAAGAGTGTGTGTGTGTGTTGACAGGGAACAGGAAGATGGAGCTAAAGTTGTGCGAGTTGAAAATTTGGATAATCCATACAGGAGACAAACTAACTTCAACAGTAGATTCAAGCTTACTCTCAACAAGCTCTACGCTTGGGCTTTGTCTGATTACGACCGTGTTGTCATGCTCGATGCCGACAACCTCTTTCTCAAGAAGACCGACGAGCTGTTCCAGTGCGGACGCTTCTGTGCGGTCTTTATAAACCCTTGTATCTTCCACACTGGCCTTTTCGTCTTGCAACCGTCGTTGGAAGTGTTCAAGGACATGCTCCATGAGCTACAAGTTGGAAGAGAGAATCGTGATGGAGCTGATCAAGGCTTTCTTGTTAGTTACTTCTCTGATCTTCTTGACAAGCCTCTCTTCCGTCCTCCTAGTAATGGCTCTGTTCTCAGTGGCCATTTGAGACTTCCCTTAGGCTACCAAATGGACGCTTCTTATTTCTGTAAGTCTCATTCTTATAACTCTCAAATAATTGTTCTTGTCTATAATAATATAATAAACCTTTTAATTAATGAAATAACTTGATTATTTTTTACTCTCAAATAATTGTTCTTGTCTATAATAATTTAACAAACCTTTTAATTAATGTAATAACATTATATTTTACTCTCAGATCTTAAACTAAGATGGAACATACCATGTGGACCAAACAGTGTGATTACATTCCCAGGAGCTGTTTGGTTAAAGCCATGGTACTGGTGGTCATGGCCTGTTCTTCCACTAGGTCTCTCATGGCACGAGCAGCGTCGCGCCACTCTAGGGTACTCAGCAGAGATGCCTTTGGTTATAATCCAAGCAGTGTTCTACCTTGGAATCATATTGGTCACACGACTAGCTCGTCCTAACATAACTAAGCTATGTTATCGCCGCTCCGACCGCAACTTAACAACTATTCATGCAGGTTTCAAATTCATAGCACTTCTCTCTGTAGTCGCAGCCTATGTCTTCCCCTTCTTCACCATACCTCACACCATACACCCACTCATCGGCTGGTTCCTCTACTTGATGGCCTCTTTTGCTCTCTCCTCCATTCCAATCAACACTCTTCTCCTCCCAACGCTCCCTGTTCTCACTCCATGGTTCGGTATTTTGGGGACGCTCCTTGTCATGGCCTTCCCTTGGTACCCTGATGGAGTTGTGAGAGCGTTGTCTGTTTTCGGATACGCATTTTGTTGTGCACCTTTTGTGTGGGTCGCATTCCTCAAGATCACGTCGCATCTCCAGGTTCTGATTGAGAAAGAGGTGCTGTTTCCGAGGTTAGGAGACTCAGGGGGGACTTCTGGCTTCAGTAAATTGTATTAGGAGTGTTTATTTGGCGTATATTGGCTCTGTATATAAGGGATTATTATTGTTTCATTTACATTACATCAACTCAACTTAACTCAATCTAACATTATTTCAGTTTTACCAAGTACACTCTGTTTCTCTATCTTATTATTTGTGTAACTCTCTGGTTTCTCTATTTATAGGTCTCAGGGCTTCTCTGACTGCTCTAGAATGTATCAGCTGAGCCATTTGAAATACGCTTTATAGTCAAGCTGTGTGTTGTAGATTACTTGTAGTAATGACTAATATAATGCTAATATGTATATGGGCACCACAAGTAGAGACCATAATAGATTCACTAGGATTAACAACTTTCCTACACGACTTGTGAGTGAAGAAAATCGATATACTTTGCTTTCAATGCTATACTGGAATAATATTCCAGTATTATATGCTTCATAGTCTCTCCTTTGCAGTCAAAGTGTCATACTTCATACTCATAGTTTCTCTCTTGGCTGTTTGTAATATCAACATCAAAATGTAAAAGTGTTTTTTTTTACATTTTCCTGTTGATGAATTTAGCATATTTTTTTTTTTGGCCTTTGGTAAACATGAGTTTTAGTCTCCAAAGGCTGAGCTGCATTACATCTTACGTAGCATATACTCCTCAGGTTTGAAATCCACGAAGGCTGAGGTGCATTAATATACCCACGCCGTTATGAACAATTTTTTTTTTACGAAAAGAAGAGAGAAGAGGTTAAATTTCATTAAAAAAAAAAACAGAACAGGTTCATTTATATCCACGCCGTTAATTATGTCCGATGAGCATAAAAGGTTAGATTATACCTTTGTCATTTTGTAGGATTCATCATTTTTCTCTATAGTATATTATTTGTTTATATATGAATTATTGATTTTCATCAAATGGGCAGCTTTACTCTCCCATGATCTACTTCTATAGCAAAATAATTATTTCTCTATGTTTTCAAATACGTTTATATTTTAGTCACATAAACTTGTAATCTACTAATTACCTTGAAAATATATATAATATTGATAATGTTCATTTATCTATTACTTGGATGCCGAGTGAATACATATAGTAAAGGGTACATTCGATAAACAACTAACTAAAATTTATCTAAATTCAGTTATGATTAAATGTACTTCCTTTTGTCCAATGATTCATGAAAGTTTTTAGAAGCAGGAAATTATCTATATCAACAAAAAGAGAAAATTATCTGAACTCTTGCCGTTCATTTTTGTTAAAATTGTGAGACAACTTTCCAATATGTTTTCTTAACATTTTTACCAAAAAAAACTTTCCAACATGTCGTTTTTATAAAAAAAAAATTTCCATGGCTATTTGTCAATAAACATTTAAACCCGTGTAAACAAGTTTCCAACATATATAAACTTGTTTCCACTTTCCATCGATATATGTAAGACGTAGACAATGAAAGATCAATGCGCCGAAGTTTAAAATGTTGTTTGCATTTAAAACTTTTAGTCCAAAATGTTTTGCTCCAAATAACTTGTTATCGCTTCAATCTCACTGGTATTTTATTTGGGGCCCTTACCTTTTATAGACCACATACTGTAATTTGTATGGATCTGTAATTTGTATAGCACCTTGGCCTTTGGGATGGCACCAATATTAAATGGAAAGGCTTTATTACAAATTCCACTTTCGTCTTTTTGGTACGTTTTGGCGATGGTACTACGTTCATAACATAGCACGTGCTCCGCAGCCCACCATTTTCTAACTTCATCTGTAGATTCTCTGAAACTTTGGACGTTCCTTACTTTTTTTTTACCTATTTTGTAGTATAATATTTCTGATTGTTTTTACTGTAAATAGAATTTTTCCATCTTCATTCCCATTCTCTTGTTCTTTCGTGCCCCTTCTATTCCAGACTAATGATTACTATTGAGAATCTAGAGATAGCCTAATGAAGATAAATAAATGTTTTTATCACCAGGCTTCACGTAAAAGACCACTTTTTTTTTGTCAGCAAAATACCACTTTCTTATAGTCGAACTCTAGGCAAGTATTGAATAATCAACCAGTAGATAAAAATGGAGAAAAAAAAATCTAGTTGTGTAAAATAGAATTTAAAGGATCTAGACTTCTAGTCTCCTAGGATTCTCCAGCTTGTGTGTACCTCATCGTGGGATATATCAAATCAATATGCTTTAATCATGAATGTTTCCAAGCATATATAACAAAATGTCTTTCTATAAAATCACTCGTCCTACTAAGGTACTTTCGTCGATCATGTTTCAGCATGATTAGTAATATATCATATATGCATACCACATATATATCACAAGAATAACTTTCAAAGAGAATGTTGTGGGATATGATATTTTAGTATTTGTTTCCTACCACACATTTTCTTCTTATAAACTATTTCATGATTATTTCAATCATATCACAATGACAAAGTTAATATTTAAATCACAAAACTTATTAAAATAATACTCAGTTTGATATTTAATATCTTGGAACATGTTTTCTCTGAGTTCCCTTAAAAAAGTTTTAGTTTCACTTCAAACCAGTTTTTTTTTTTAAATGTTTTAGTTTCACTAATAATCATAGTAAAGCATATTGAGCCTGCAATTTGAAATTCCCTAATCCATTTAATAGTTCGTTGTGTCTGTATAAAGTTCAAATATCCCAAGAACATTTTTGATCCATGGAACATATATACGCATATGACTTTGGACATATTAACATGTGTTCCCATATATTTTAATTAAAATGAGTGGTATCAATTGAGGACATCTGATAAAATTAGAACAATAGAGAAAATATTAAAATGACACACATAATTAAGAAATAGTCCAATATCTTCTGTACAAAAGTATCTATATTACAATCTTAACATTTTTCAAAAAAAAGTTCTTGTTACTCATCTGCAACTAGCAACACCATCTACTGTATATATAAAAAATTCATGTTTAAGACATATTAAAAAGACTTCAAATTTGTATCACAGATCATATTATATATTATCATAATTTTTTTTACATGAAAGGAAGAATCAACCCTCAATATAGTCTACTTATAACGGTTGCCATTATTTGACGATGATGTTGATTTGACGCACGACATAATGTCGATGCAACGCAAAGGAACGTACGCCTCGGTCTAAAAGATGATCACCCCCCCCCCCAAAAAAAAACTCTGAACTATATGTCTGAACTATATTATAAAGATGACTTTTAATCATTACATCTTCTAATCCATCAAAGTAAATGATTTTTCTCTTTTTTTGGTTGGAAATATTAGTAATATTTTCTTGAAAAAAATAAAACTTTTTCTTCCCACTAATAAATGTACTAAAAACACATACTTTGAAGATCCGTAGAAGTACAGTACTTGAAATCGTCTTTTTTAGTTTCTATACATCTGAAATAGAGAAGCGTATGAAAAAAAAAATTTGTAAAATATAGCTTTTATTAAATATGGAAATAAGAGCCTTGAGATTTAGCTTAGATCTCACTAGAATTTAAAACTCAAAAATTATGTTTGTTGTTAAAAGTTTTTAGAAAAATACTAGAAGAAAATTCTTGTCTTCAGCTACCCTAGAAAAGGTTCTGTTTTTCGTGATCACTTTTTGAAATACATGTAATATTTTGTAAAAATTCATTTTGTGGATCTAGAATAAAGTTTTGAATGACTTAGATCAATATCTCCATCCTATTCTATATTTTATTCTAAAAAGAAGATGTCCATACGAGCGTCAATATATATTCCAAATGACAAAAAACTATATTCTTCAACAATTTTCGAATATCAATGATTTTAATTTTAATTTTTTTGGCCAACAATGATTTTAATTTTAATACAGTATGAAATACTCCTGTCAGCGCAAATAACAAAAACCAACTAGAAAAAGCCTTTCAATGAAAATCAGTCCCAACAAAAAAGGACATTAAATACATGGCATTAAATAAAAATGGGCCAATGGGTCATTTCATTTCTAACTTTACGAGGGCCAATAAGCTCACGACAGAAAGAAGATTAGCGAATTAATTAGGAAACTAGAAAATGACTGAAAGAAAGGGAAATAAAATTAATAATTGTCTCTCGTGTCATATATCAAGTTTCAATAATATGATGATGCCCTTTCATAACTTTTAAGAATGCAAAATATGATTTGTTACATAAGTTGAAATACAAACTTAAGATCTCTTCGATAAGATAGATACATTAATGTTACAGAGAAAAAATATGTCGATATCTTCTATTGTTTGTGCCAGAGACAGCCAGAACCTAAAAGTAAATATAGAGGTACAACAGAGCTACAAATAAACATGGGACTTTTTCAATTGTCACTGACTCACTGACGTTCACATTTCTACAAAAACAAAGAGCCTTTTACTTATACATGTCACACAGTCCCCCCCACTTAAAAAGTTCTAGAAAAAGAAAAAAAAAAAATCCAACCGGTGATTTTATGACGTTAAAAAGTTTTCACATGACAAGAAAACACTACGGTACAAAACTACAGTGTCTTTGTTTTCTAGTAACTTCCCGAGAAGAAAGGTTCTTCGTAAGGTAACGAGTCCCAAAACCCATCTATTTTGTGGTTCACGTCGAGCAAGAGATCAGGGAGGTCAGAGAACGCATCGTCCGCTGTTGCGGTCATAGCCGGAGACGAAGGCTCCGAGCTTATGGGTGAGGACGACGACGTCTCTACCTCCATGTCAACGGTGACTGCAGCTGCAGCAGCGGCGGCTGCGGTTTGTATGTCTTTAGGGTCGGTGCTAGCCGGTCTAGGTAGGTGGTAGGCTAGCTCAGGGAAGTTGAGATGAGCAGAGCCGCCTTTAATGGCTAAAGCCGCTACGTCATGAGCACGCGCCGCCATCTCGGCCGTGGAGAAGGTACCGAGCCAGATTCTTGATTTCTTCTTTGGCTCTCTTATCTCGGAGACCCATTTTCCCCATTGTCGCATTCTCACTCCTCGATAACTTGTATGCTTTGAAACAATCTTTTCATCATCATCATTGTCTTCTTTGACGACTCTTTTCTTCTTCGGATTATTATTGTTATTATTCACTGTTCTCGCCGGCGCATGCGACTGAGGATCTTGAAATCTACTCCGGCAGGATGAGTGATCCATGAGTTTGAGTTTTTTCATTTTTAATAAAAATATAGAAAGGGGGTTAAAATGTAACGGAAGAGATAATTAATGTAGAGAAAGAAAGAAATGTGGTTATCTTGGTTTATTGTGAGAGTTTTGTTTGAGAAGAATAGGTCGGTGTGGTTGGTACTTATATACATCCAATTTAAGAAGCTGATTTTCTTTTGTAGGCTATACCTAAAATATATGTATACGTATTCAATACACTTTATACCTAGACATCTGGATTTTCAGTCTATAATTATATTTATAGGTAGGTACTCTCTACTCTACCTATGAAAAAAAAAAGAAAAAACAATATTACTATTTTTTTGGGTCGAAATGTTAGCAAATCAAAAGAACATCACTATATATACACAGTGGAACTAATATAAAGAGTAAACTACCTTTCGGAATAGGTTTTTGTTTTTCTTATGTTTTTGATATGAATATATTAATTAGTCGATAATTTACACACAACAATATGGAAGTGATTAACTTTTTTAATATTTTACGTATTTGTTTGGTAAATATTTTTAAATGTGACAAAAAACCATTTTTACATTAGGAAAAAATGATACAAATATATTAAAGGACCAATAAAAAATAGCGTTGATAATAGTAGAATGATACTAGAGATGATACTTTATTCATGTTTGTGATTCCATTTAAGAACTGATTACTCCTTACAGCTCGGCGTTTGACATTTATTGAACACCAAAATAATGGACCTTATTTCGACAGTGCATTTCGCCCCATCATCTGAGTCAAACTAAATTGGTGAACTCACATGTTCGTTGCAAAGAATTCGTTTTTTTAGAAAATTGGTTAGCGATTTTCCATTTGAAAAATAAACGAATATTCATATTTGGAGGCGTAAATACGATGTTGTCCGACTTTGTCGAGTTTCTACGGTCGAGTCATATTTTTTAACATTGATGGTGAATATAATAATGGTCACATGGCTTAAGAATTACGCAGATGTTTTTCAGCTAGCTACAAAAAGAAATAAGCATTTACAACGTAAGGAAATACTATACGATTACAATTGATTCACAACGTAAGCCGAACAGCTAGAGGTACGAGGCTGTTAGAAAGCCAAGAAGGCCAATTATGAAGTCACAAAAAAATATTTTCATTAGGATAAATCGTCCGAAGCCGTTAAACATATCTAGTATATACAGAAAGATGGCTAGTGAGTTAGGTTCGCAAATTTGCGATTAAGAACTGAAGAAAACGTGTGTTTAAGTGAACAATTTGAGTACAACGTTGGTACAGCTAGTCATGTAGATGCACGTATAAGCAACTGCGTACGAACACGTTTTCACAAGGTACAGAATATGTTATAAACAGTAAGACAATTGACGATAAAATATACTACAAAGTACACAAGATGTTGCAAAAGCCAATTTTAGGATCTCATCGGCTTCGTACATATATATACACACATGACATGCACATTATACATACAAACATGATACTCGTAAGTACATGCATATTAGTATATATAGATGTCACATCTGTATGCATGTATGTATGCACATGTCCAAAGAGTCAAGTCAAGGATTGTTATCGTCATTCGAATCTTGGGTTAATCAAGATTAAAGACATAAGCTGTCAAAAGTAAATTTAATTAGGATGTCGTCGTAACTACTTTCACTACCAACCAACTACTAACATTTTTTTGAAAGGAAATTAAATACGAATGCATGTATTTAATTAGTTTTTCAATGTTGGAGGATCTAGATATAAAACAACAGTTGGTTAATTACAATATCACAGTAGAAATTCTATATGAACCAACCGCACCACTAATTCGGTTATCAATGGCACCGCAGCACTAAATAATTAAAATCGTTTGGGACCATAAAGGGTTGGGATTTAGCTGATAAATAGGTAATGGTTTAATGGTTGCTACTTAAGCAAAAGTTACTCTGTTAGTTTTAGATAAAGGATCAATTCCTCTCTCTAATGTGAAATATATAATTATCTAATTATTTGGCTAGTTGAAATCATTTTTCCTTACCAGTTTAAGAAATGTGATTATTTAATTAGATTCAAAGCATTGTTTCTGTCATTATATTCTTTCATTTTTGTTTCGCATACTTCGTATGAAGAACACATCTACAAATTTTTAATAACAACATACAAATGAAAAAAAGAAAAAAACATACAAATGGAAAGAAATAAATAATCATACAAATGAAACCAGTCCTCCTACTCCAATTATCAATGTACAAATCTATCGATGGAAGAAGAAGAAAAAATGAACTATATATTTCATGAACATCAAAAATCCATTATTGATACAATTGTTGAAATGTTCACCCTATAAAAAACTCGTGTCATCTCATTGCTATCAATCATGGTAAGCACATGCTTGAGAGATCAATTTGGAATTTGGTTGGATCCATCACTTATATTGAAACGTTTACCCTATTCATCAATGACAGATTTGTGTCACTCTACTGCGATCGATCATGGTTGGTCACGTGCTTGAGAGTTAGTTGGATCCTTTGGTTTTTATATAAAATGACTATTTTGTTAAGAAATGGAAACAATTGTGCAGATTTTTCTTTGAAGTGAGTGATTAACATTTGACATATGGACATCGATCAATTTTCATGTGTTGGTCCACTCATATGTAATCTTTAAAATTGTAAATGTGAATTCTCTTCCTCATTCAACATGAGCTCTAGTTGTCAGCCCATTCCTATCATCATACTAAACCAATACCAACTAACAAGTCACCATGGTCTATGTGTGTTGTTCTCAACCTTTCTTTTTTTAATGTTGAGATTCTTTCTAATGAGATACAAACATAGACAAGATGAAGATAGTTGTTAATATATATACCTGACTAGAGTTTATTGCTCTTGTGTAATCCTCAAAAAGTCACCAACTGAAGGTGAAAATGTGGTAACACAAAATCTAGGACAAGAAAATTTATAAGCAAGTTTGAACTTTAAAAACATGGAGCGAATATAATTTTTCTAGTCCTAGTATACTTTGGATTATGATGCCCTGATTGTACATTTAAATCTTCAAGTAAGATATTATTCTTCTAGAAAACGATGCAACTAATGTTAAACGGCTCAGAATTAAACAAGATTGATTAACTTATGTTCAGATGATATTTGAAAGAAAATACTCTACAAATATATATACTTCTCTTTTGTTCATAGCCTATTTGTTAACACCATGTTGGCATCTAAGTGTCTGTGTCTCTTAATTTCTTTCTACATATATAAATAAAAAATATTTGGTATTTCAATCATCTCCATATTTTATTCCCACCATTCTGTACATAATTTGGTCAGCTACATTTCCAATTCTTATTGACCATAAATAGCTTAACATAGTAAATTTATTTTGATGTTAAAAAAAAGAAGAAGTAAATATACTCTTAAATGCTATCACTTGATGTTAAGCAAACACTAACATTGAAAATAGTTGAAAACATGTTCATACTTCTTAAATTATCTTAAGTAAACAACATAACATCTTCAGTGGTTAAGTCAAAATAAAATCATACCAGAAAATCTTTTTTTTTAAACACAAGATAATTTAAAATGAACTTGTAATTATGAAAAACTACCTTTCATTTCATCTTATCCAATTTCTAAATTATTTTGGCGTATCTTTAAAAATATGATTTCAAAGTATCAGCCAAAACTAACATCATATGCACACATTTATTCTAGCTAGGAAATCAATGTTTATGATTAAATTGTATTTCTTTCAATCTAAAGAATTTATGAACAACTTTAGAAGCATAAACTTATCTGATATATCTTATGAGGGCTCATGGTAACTGTTCTTGTAATCCTAAAGAACAACCACATAAACCATTGTGGTGATGAAGACTTCATGCAAGAAAGATAAAACAGATGAGAAGCAGTGAAGTGAAGAAGCAATGACCTTACACTAGATGTTTGATTGATGGGTTGTTGCTTCTTTCATAACACATGCATATAATATTATTTTGATTTTGTTTTCTTTTACCAATAAACTATTTTAATTTACAATTTAAACATTTAAGAAAATTATATTAGTTAGTTGTTTTCAATGAAGAAACTAAAACTGCTGCCCACATATATATGTTGTATGTGACATTCAAAAGAAACTAAACAGTGTCTCAAATATTTTTATGTTCATTTACAAAAATTAATATATTTTCTTTTGTCTTAAAAGACATCAAAATTTAGCAATACTTTTTGTTTTATTTTCTAAAATATTTGACTGAAAACGAAAGAAACTATGTGATTTTTTTCTCACAACACTGTAAAGAAACCATTAATAGAAAGAACACCAGATATTTAGTAAGTTTTCGAACCCACTCAGATTATTCTTTTTATTTTGGTTTTTCAATTTTTTTTTTCATATCTTATCGTAATTTGCAAATGAACCGATAAATCCTACAAGTTTTTATAGTTTGGTTTAGTCAACTAAAATTTGTTAATACCTGTTTTAAAATTATTTATTATTTTAAAATGTATTCTAAATTTAGTTTGATTTAAATAAGTTAATTTTTTTATTTGAAACTATTTGTAAAATAAAACAAAAGCAAAAATGTTAAATATCTAATTTTATTAGATAAATAAAATCCAATATTTTATTTTTATTACTTACTGTAGAAATATATATCATTTATATATTAAAGTTATTAGCTTATTGATCAACGGTTCAGTTACAGTCGATCCAGTGATTCAATATTCCATAAAACAATCCGGTTTAATGTTTGAGTCCGGTTTAAAAACATTGGTCTTCTCCTTACTCTTCAGAAGAGAAACCAAAGATAGGTTGAGTGGAGATTAGGCCAAAAAAAACTCATCGGTCCCCAAATTCGAGAAAAAGTAGAAACTTTGATCCCCAAATTCACAGTGATCTCCGTCTCGTCGTTGCCTGATCTCCCTGAAAGATTCTGAATTCAGCTTTTCTCCGGTGACTTCATCAAGATTTCGATTTCGTGTAATCACAATTAGGGTTTCGACGATCAATCACTAGGAGAATTAGATCTTTGATTTTGAGGAGTATGTATATCGAAGACGTGACTGAAAAGGAAGAGAAGGAGGAGAGATCGGTTAGGGTAGAGGATGGAGAAAAGGAGATAGTTGTGAGCAGTGGAAAGGTGATTGTGTTGAAGATGGCACTAGTTGGTGTTGGTGCACGTGCCTTGTTCTATCCAACTTTGGTTTACAACGTTGTTAGGAATAAGGTTGAGTCTGAGTTTCATTGGTGGGATAGGGTTGCTCAGGTATAGATAAAGTTTCTTCCTTTGAGCTTGTTTTATTGAAAGTTGGATACTTTGTTTGGTGGGTCTCATGCTCAAGTATGTTACTTGGCTTATGGTTAAGAGTCTCTCTCTGTGTTGGTTTTTGTTTGTGTAGTTTATATTATTGGGAGCTGTTCCGTTTCCATCTGATGTTCCACGGCTGAAGGAGCTTGGTGTTTGTGGAGTGATCACTCTGAATGAGCCGTATGAGACTTTGGTTCCATCATCTCTCTACAAAGTCTGTTTCCTTTTCTCTGTCTATTGTGACGAAACTATACTAATGCTCTGTTTTTTTTGTTTTTATTTACTAAACTTGTTGTTTTGTTTTTTTTTACTCTTGTGGAAGTCTTACTGCATTGACCACCTGGTGATTGCCACGAGAGATTATTGTTTTGCACCTTCCATGGAAGCTATATGCCAAGCTGTAGATTTTATCCATAGTAAGTTTTACCTTCTCTTTTCATACTTTTATCCTCTTGCTTTTTTTTTTTTTGTTGCAGTTGTTAAGGTCGTAGCCGTATTCATTTGATCTTTGATTTGTATCGTTAAAGGTAATGCTTCACTTGGGAAGACGACTTATGTTCATTGCAAGGCTGGTCGGGGCCGCAGCACAACTGTTGTCATATGCTACTTGGTTTGTGTTGCAATGACTCCAATAAATTTTTTTGCTTCAGTTCTCTCTCTCTCTCTCTCTGATTATATCTTTGCAATGCAGGTGCAACACAAAAACATGACACCTGAAGCAGCTTATGATTACGTGAGGTCAATCAGGCCTAGAGTAAAATTAGCGACCACCCAATGGAAGGTAATAATCGACATGGGCACGTTCTTTGTTCTTTGTTCTTCTTCATCCTCTGATTCCTAATTTTCGTGTCTGCAGGCCGTTCTTGAGTACTACCATGTCAGGGTGCTGAATACTCAGAGTTCCTTACCTGATGCAGCTTCAGCTTTGATTCCAAGAAATGTGAAGCAGGTTTGTTCTGGGAATGTGGTTGTGTTTGAAGATGGGTCGATGGTGGTAGTGACCCACTCAGATGTAGAGGGCTATGATGATGAGTCAAAGAGGTCAATGAATGTTGCTAGGAACGAGTTATGGGTGAAAGTGGTGGGGCAAGCTGCATTGGCGAGGATCTCATACTTGTGGCTTGGCTTGCGTGAGGACCACAAACTTTCTCGGAAAAATCTTTCCATGAAAGGTATAAGCGTGGACATATCTGTCTACTAATGATTATGAAGAATGACTCAGATGAGTCCCCAGTGACAAAAGTGTATAAATAAATAAAAAGGGATCAGATCAGATATAGAAGAAAGCTAGCGTTTTGTAAATCCTAATTAAATACTACCTTTTGCCCCCTCATCAACCTTTGATGATAAAAAAACCATAAATTAATCTCTTTAAGTATCATAATCAGTCTTTTGAGTTTGTAACCCCTTTAGAGATTATCTATACTATTAAAGCAGAATCCCTCCTATAATTCTGCCCTTAAATATTTGAGTTATTTACATTAGTATGCCATTGCTATTTTATTTTCATTAATAATTAAAATTAGCTAGATTTTCTCCTTTATTTAAATTACTAGATTTTAACCCGCGCTTTAAAAGCGCGGGTTTATTTTACCTTTTTGATAAAATTTATTTGAATTGATAAATTTTATTTTAACACAAAAAATAAAAGTTGTTCTACTAATATTAAAATGTTCTATTATATTGTTTTATTTTTACGTATTGTATGTTTTCATATCTGATCGAGACTCATAGTTAAACTGATATATCCGACAATCTTTTGTATAATCCGGTTAATATTATATGAAATTTTATTAATTTAAATTTGATAAAACTGGTAAATATCCAAAAATCCTCTATTAATCCGCAATATAATATCCGTAGATCCCAAAAAAACTTATAACATTTTCTGAAAAAATTAGTTAAATAACACATAGTTTTAATATTAAATAAAATTGAATTTTTTTTTGTAATTTCTTAGACTTTAATGAAATTTTTTTCATTTGAAAATATGAAACAATGGTAATAGAAAAAAAATATTCATATAACAATTTTTTTTTTTGTTATTAATAACCTATGATAATTTTATATTTTCACTTATTTTATATCTAAAAGTAATTTATAAAAGAAAATTGAATGGGCATATCAATTATGACATAATAAATAATAGTTTTAACTTTTTATTGCTAAATAATATTATGCACGAAAATAGGATATTAAAATTAAAATAAAATAGAAATAACATAAAAATAAAATTATTATTAAGCACAAAATCAGGGAATTATTAGTTACCTTAAATATAGGAAATATTTAGTTTTTTAGTTTAAATAAATAATAATTATATTAAATTAAATGCTAATGGCATATCTTTGTAAATAACTCATAAAACTATGGGCAGAATCCTATGAGGGATTCTGCTTTAATAGTATAGATAGCATTGCCATTATTGTTTGGAATTTTTGCGTATGGTGGTGAATCTGGGATTTGGTTTCGAGATCTGTTCTCCCTTATGGGCATTTTCATTAAAAACTGAAGTCGTTCACTTTAGAGTTGTATTACGGTGAATCTGGTATTTGGTTTCAATATCTTTTCTCAGTTATGGAGAAAGAAGGTTAGATGTTGGTTACGGTCAATAAGATGTGACTGATATCATCCTAATTGAGAAATCAATCAGAGTAAATATCATCAAGAATCAAAACGGCGGCTTTAAGGAAAGGAACGACACAAATAAACCCCCGTTGAATGGAAACAAAGGTCTTTTTGTGGAATTACGAGATCTGAGAAAGAGAGGATGAAAGCGCTTCTTTGTTCCGAGAGCTAAGTGGCAATGTTATTCCTGTCAATAATAAGAAATCTAACTTCAAGGACGAGATGGAAAAGATACAAGCCTCTAACCCTGCGGCTTGGTGTTTTGTTTGTATCCTTGCCTCTCTTTCAAATTATGATTACACAAGATAGGTATGAAACACTATGTTTCTCTCTCTCTTTGTGTAATAGTAATGATGATTAGAATCACTAGATACGGTTCAATGGAAAACGTTGGCGGTGCTGCCTTGAATCAGTTTCAGCTGGTTGGTATACAAACATTAGAAGGCCTGACCACAAAGAACATCTTAGTAGCATAAAGCAATCAGTTTTATCAATGTTTCAACCCCTGTAGTACCCTGAAGATTATCTTTCCATTTTCATGGAAATTTTTAATGCAATTTTTGATTACTCAAATAATTCTTTAGATTATTTTCATTCCAACCTATATATTATGCTTTGGATTTCTTTGTTTCTTTCAGCATACTGAGAGTTTCCAAAGCTGGACAAGCACTCTTCCTCGAAAAGAAAGTTAAAAGAAAGGGAAGCACCTAGGCTTATAGGAAAATGTTTCTGATGTTTTTTTCTATTTTTGTGGGTGTGAAACTATTAATCTCTTGTGCAATTATAACGCTGGAATGAGTTACAGCGGTCAGTGTTATTTTGGGTTGAGGGTTGCTCTTTGTATGATTGAGGTCAGGAATGTAGAAGAATTAGAAGATAGGTCATTATATTTTTTGCATTAATGTACGTATTATAAGAGCAATTGTCTTTTCCTTAGAGCGTGAGTTAACGAAGGTCTTTTGGCTGGTTTGAGTATAACTTACTTCCTCTAAAAAAACCATACGTCGATAGTGGTTTGTAAAACAAAAAGACATCAAAATTCGTTAGTGATTATACGAGTTCAATGGAATGGGGAAAGGTATTATGACATGTGGTATCAACATGTATCGTTGGGTTCTCTATTTTAGAATATCAATACTAATTAAATACACATTAAACGTGGTCATTTTTTTCTGTTTCAGTCTGTTTTTTTTGGTTTTCGGTTTTAAAAATACATGAAGGGTTAGGTTATTTATGAAATTTGATTTGGTTTCGGCTTGGTTCGGGTAGCAACTACAAGAACCGGCTAATATTCGATAAACTTGTGGTTCTAATTCGGTTCATGTATGATTCTGTTTTTCAGTTAATTTGGAAAATTCATATAGAAAACAGATTTTTTTTTTTGTTTTCCGATTAAAAATTAGGTCATTCAAATAATTTTTTATATTTTGAATAAAATATATTCGTGTAACTTTGTTCTTAGGGTAATTATTCTATTAATAATATTTTGGATAAAAAAATATTTTGTTAATCCTTCTTTTTTGTAGTTCGATTTATAAATAATATTTTAGTATCTTTGGTAATTTTAAAAGTAAATATAATTAATAATTTTAGGTGTACAAACTGTATTTCAGATATTAGAATGCTCATTCGGTTTTTGGTTTGGTTCCGATTAGTTTCGGTTTTCAGTTCTCAAAATATAGAAACCACTCCATCATTTGTGAACTTTGATTCGCTTTCAGTTTCGTATTTTGGTTTTATACGGTTTTTGTTTCACGGTTTATATGTCCAAGCTTAACGCATATCCTGTAAAAATCTCTTTTGTATAAGACATAGTAAAAGAACAAATCACTCATTTTTGGCTGAAAATGTATTTTATAATTCTATAAAACAATATAAGTTGGACACTGAATCTCAAATGTTAAAATTTGAACCAAAAATAGTTGTTGTTTTTAAACCGAACCAAATTAACCGAAAAGTTATCCCGCGCTTTCAAAGCGCGGGTCAAATTCTAGTAAAATATTAAAGTAAAAAACATAATTTGAAAGGAAGGAAATGGTATCTGAGTACGGGAATTTTAAAAAATAGTTATGGTCTCTCAGTTCAGAAATGAAGATCTCTGACACTCACCATGGCTACTATTATTCTTCATCAAGCTCCATTACCATAAAATTTTAAGGCTGCTGCAGCTGCTGCCAGATTTGCAGCTCTTGCTGCATCTGCATCCTCTTCTGCTGGTTCTTTATCCTTTGCGTTTTGGAGGATGATACTGCATTTATCCATGGTCTCGGCGGATATCAGACGGTATGAGCATAGTTTATAAAGTGCGAAAGTTTTCCATTGCCTGCTCAGAGGTATCAACAAAAATAATCAAAAACTGTGATACTCCATTTTGGCATATCATATGATTAGTTGACAGAAGATTATTACCAGATCATTTCAATTTTGATCAGCTCTTTCGCATGAAGTTTTACGAACTTTTCACATGCCAAAGGAACATGTTTATCTCCAACCACCCTGCCCAAAAAAAGTAATCATGGCATAAAAAAAAGTGAGTCTAGTGATGTGGACTAGTCTTTATCTCAAATATTTCTTGAAAACATAAGATGCAAGTAGAATCATATTGCTACGTTTGATTTCTCATGAAATTGTTCCAAAGGCTCATGAATCTCTTTTGCTCATCGGTCGCATCCACCAACTGATTAAGCCTCTGTGAAATTGAGAAAACAAAGGACTCTGGTGTAAGTTATGTTCTTGATAACAATTCAATGAAAATTAAAAAAAGAAAAAGAAATAATGAAATACCAAGCGTTCTTGAAGATCTTGAAAAACTTCATCACGTTCATTATCGCTGTCGGCTTCAGACAATACTTCTTCCAGAGTCATTGGCTTCAAAAGTGCAAATTATTTAAGTTAGTATAATGAAACAAAAGACAGCATGGTTTCAAGAAAATCAAGATCATGTAACTAAACCACCTGTAATGTTCGAGAATGATAGAACTGCCGACTCCTCAGAAGATCGGTTCTGGAAATTAACAATGTATAATAATATTAGTTAGTAAAATCATAAGGACGAAGATTCGGTTGAAACAAAATATCACAAAGAGCATCATTACCCTTCATCCTCTATCCGCTGTGGATGAAACCCTTTTCTCCTAGTAGCACCAGGCCTCTTAGCTTTAGAAGACTGACCTATCTCTGGTTGAGTTACTGTCTGAATGTGGCTAGCCTTTCTCGTCAAGCGAGTTCTTGCTAGGGAGGTTCCGTTCACATCAGGGCCCTTAGCTTTAGATGACTGACCTCTCTTTGGTTGAAATCTTGTCTTAATGAGTGTAGTCTTTTTCGACAAGGGAGTTCTTGTTAGGGAGGATGAGATATTATCACCGTTCTCATCAGGGCCCTTAGTGTTAGAAGACTGACCTCTCTTTGGTTGAGTTCTTGTCTGAATCTGGGTAGTCTTTCTCGACAAGGGAGTTCTTGTTAGGGAGGTTGATATGTTATCACCGTTCACATGAGGCCCCTTAGAACACTGACCTATCTCTAATTGAGTTATTGTCGGAATGTCGCTGGAATTCTCCGGCAATTGAGTTCTTGCTAGGGCTGATGAGACATTATCACCGTTCACATGAGGACCCTTAGAACACTGACCTATCTCTGGTTGAGTTATTGTCTGAATGTCGTTGATATTCTCCGAAAAGTGAGTTCTTGGTAGGGCTGATGAGACATTACCACCGTTCACATGAGGCCCCTTAGAACACTGACCTATCTCTGGTTGAGTTCTTGGTAGGGCTGATGAGACATTACCACCGTTCACATGAGGCCCCTTAGAACACTGACCTATCTCTGGTTGAGTTCTTGCTAGGGCTGATGAGACATTACCACCGTTCACATGAGTCCCCTTAGAACACTGACCTATCTCTGGTTGAGTTATTGTCGGAATGTCGTTGGAATTCT